ACATCAGCATCATCATAAGCAGCAGCATCAGCAGCATCATCATCAAAAGCATCATCATCATCATCATCATCATCATCATCATCATCATCATCATCATCATCATCATCATCATCATTATCAGCATCAGCATCATACGCATCAGCATCATCATCATCAGCAGCATCAGTATCTGCGTCATCATCGTCGCCATCATCAACAACATCAATATCAACATCGTCATCATTCTCAAAACCATTATTCCCATCCTCCTCCTCCTTGTCCTCCTCCTTCTCCTCCTTTTCCCTCATCATTTTCTTCCTCATCCTCCTCCTCCTCCTCCGCGTCCTGCGTCCTCTTCCTCCTCCTCCACCTCTTCTCCTCCTCCTCCTCCTCCTCCTCCTCCTCTTTCTCCTCCTCCTCCCTGCTCCTCCTCTTCCCCCTGATGATCGTCCTCCTCCTCCTCCTCCTCCTCCTCCTCCACCACCTCCTCCTCCTCCTCCTCCTCCTCCTGGCGGAACGGACGGGAACACGCGGATTGGGGGGGGGGAAACGGGGGGAGGCATGGAGGAACGGGCGAGGGTAGGGAGGGCGGAGGGAGGGCGGGAGTGGGAGAAGGGGGAAGGGAGGAGGGAGGGGGGGAGGGGCAAAAGGATGGAGGGAGGAGGGAGGCGCGGGAGGGAAGAAGGAGGATATAGGCAAACTACGCACTGTCGCCCCGCATATGATATCCTGCCCCTTCCTCCTGTCATGTTCAATTACGCTGCGATTGGCGTGTCATAAGTTACCTTGATCCGCGAATGTTATTTGTAGGACTTGGCTCACCGGGGTTTTTGTAAGGAGGCTGGTGATCACGCGGCGGATAAAAAAAAAACGAGGGGGGAAGGGGGGATCAGGGGAAGGCTCAAGGGGAAGAAAAGGTTAGCGGATGATCAAGAGACCGACGAGGACAGGGAGGAGGACTAAGGATTGGGAAAGGCGAGACGCATGTGCCATGGACAAAGCTCTAAACCCACGGCGCGTGCACTACAACCTCTGAATGTTGATCGAGCGTCGACATAAGCCAACAGTCTGGACCACGGCAAGAGCAAAAACAGCTGTGGACCGAGAGAACGAAACAAGCACCCCTGTTTCTCGCCTCAACCTATTCCGCCGCCCCTGCTCATGCACTCCTATTTTTAAAAGGCTGCGCCGTTTTACTACGTGCATTCAAGACTTATGATTGAGATATGTGTCAGGATGTGAAGAAACTTAAACTAAAACACGCGCACAAACACAAGCCGCCACTGTACGGAGGGACTCAGAACATAATAAAAACAGCACGGACTCGCGACGCCCGTCAAGGCCCCCCCGCCATCGGCGGCTTGGCCGCGCGGGCGCGCGTCGGACGCCGGCAGCCTCGGCGCCGCGAGTCGCCACGCACGCGGGCCAAAAGGGCCGATCCTATGGGCAGCTTCTGTGGAACGCGCGGAGGAGGCAGAAAAGGAGAGGATGACCGACGACAGGGGAAGAGGGGTAGGGCGGGGGACAGGGTGAAACAGGATCCCTGTCTATCTCCGCCGACTCATCCTGGAGCGTCGACCCAGGCACAAACGACCGAAGCAAGGGCGAGAACATTCCAATCATTTCCTCCGGGAGCCAAATCGAGAGCAACTGCAAACAGCCAACGCCGGTCGCGCATTGAGCAACACAATAAAAGACAAAGACAAAAGTGCCCATAATCTCTGAAGCACCGCGCCGCACGTTCTGAAGTACTAGACAGGTCTGATAAACAAAGCATACGCATACACAAATGACTGAGACACGCATAACTGCGGCAATTAAGGGCGGAGAAAATTGCAGCAAAACCGAATCGCACGCTGGCCCAGCCCGCGCAAGCGCGGGCACGGAGGCGCGATCTGGCAATCAGGGCGGGCCGTCCTGCAGGGGCGAATCGGACCACGAGCAGTCGTCCACTAAGTAGTGGAACGGAAGGTCGCTCACGGCCTCGATGTTCGCCTCCTCGCACTGCTCCTCCGAGGCGCCGAAAGCCTCGAGTTTCTTGCGCCGCCGGGCGGCCCACCGGCAACGGGCCAGCCGCCCCCCGCCTGGCTGTGAACTCCATCGGGAGGCTCTCCGAGAGAACCTTCGCCTCGCGCCTGCCCGCGCTGACGCCGAGGCGGCCGGCATTGATTTTGTCGCCCCAGTTTCCCACGCGTCGGGCGCCTCGACCGTTTCGAGACGCGGGCCCCCGACCTCTCGACCAACCTCCCCGGGACCGGCCCGCTTGGAGAGGCCCTGCATCTCGGCCCGCATGCGCTTGAAGGCAAGCTGATCCTCATGACCGTTGTCGACGAACTCGGCCAGGCGCCGCACTGCATTCTGGAAACGCGAATCACCGTTCGAGCCGCCGCCCTGCCGGGCCCTCTCTGCGTTGGCCGCCGAGCCATCACCGTGTGGGAGCCCTGGAGCATGGCGGTCCAAGCTGAGGCCAACCCCTGCGTCTGCATCGCGTTCGGCTGCGTCGAGGACGCTGGGCCACCGCCGTCGCTCGCAAGATCATGTCTGGCCTGGGCGGTCGCCCAGGCACTGCCGAGATGGGCCATCTGCCCATGCGACGCCAAACTTCCCATCAAGTCATTGAAATGGCTGGCGAAGCCTACGAGGCCCTCGCCACTGCCTTCCTGACTCGGCTGCCAACGGCCACGGCCACCACCGCCCCGATTGCCTCTGCCCCCCGACGGGCTGCCGCCCATGCATGCCGTTAACAGGAATGGCGATGGAACCGAGGAAGTACAGGAGGAACTCAAGGACGAAGCCAGACGCACGTGCTCTTGAGCCTGAACGCAACAGCAACCGCGCGAGGTGGCCTGCGAGGGATGGTCGGGGTCATGGGCTTTCGCCAGTTCAGGGCATGCCTTGTGGATGAGCTGGAGGGCGACCCGGATCACGTCCTGGAGCTCCGCATGGGGCTGGACCTGGACCCAAAGCTTGAAAACGAACGCGCATGGCATCCCAACCTTAGGTCCACGAGGATGTCGACTATGATGAGATAGAACACTGTATTGTATGCATCCGGTCAGTCAATTCTCCCCACTGGATAGACGTCCTTAAAGTTCGGCTCGGCGTATGTTAAGGAGTGATCGGTCTTTCTTGCAGGCGCGCAGGGGAACTGATTGTTTTGCAAGGTCTGATAGGGCTCCAGCTCAGGCAAACTTCCCATTCGCATGCAGAGGTTCGGCGGTGAACTCTGCGAAACTCACGTGGACCTCCAAATCCGAAAATGTCTTAACAACGGTGGTGGCATTGACAATCCCGAAATAATCATCGACCTTAAACTTGACAGTGTTTTTCTTATACACCTGCCCTATCACCCGAGAAACACGCACCCGGCAGAGGGCGCGAGAGAAGACCCCGCCCCCACAGTACGGCGCTAGCGAAAGCGCGGCCTGCTTTAAGGCCGCGGGACGTGCCAGCCGCGAAGCGGTTGAGGCGGGCCCTCAGGAGACGATGACGATGATGGCGGCAGCGGTGCAGCCCCCCCCATTTTGCTGCTGCGCTGGCCGCACGCTCCTCCCGCCGGCGTTGACACGCCAGGCGGGTCCCTCCTTCCGCCACGCGAAGCGGGCCTCGCCGCCGGTGCCGTAGGACACCGAGGCAAAGCCCAGGGTGGGCGGGCAAAAGAGGGCCCCTTTGGGCCCTGGGAGGGCTTTGAGCCCCGAAGGCTTGAGCGGGAGAGAGGAAAAGGGAAGGGCAAGCAGAGGCAGGAGCAGGGAGAGGAGAAACCCAAGCCGACTGGGGAGGGCGGGGTCCAACCGTTTAGGACAAACAACTAAGACCCCGCCCCCACAGTACGGCGCTAGCGAAAGCGCGGCCTGCTTTAAGGCCGCGGGACGTGCCAGCCGCGAAGCGGTTGAGGCGGGCCCTCAGGAGACGATGACGATGATGGCGGCAGCGGTGCAGCCCCCCCCATTTTGCTGCTGCGCTGGCCGCACGCTCCTCCCGCCGGCGATGACACGCCAGGCGGGTCCCTCCGTCCGCCACGCGAAGCGGGCCTCGCCGCCTTTGTTATATAATACTGGTGCTGCTGCCAGTGCCCCCGCACACTGGCCGCCTGGCGGGTTCTACGCGCCGGCGTGCTGTGTGGGCGCCCTGATGGGCGTCGCCAAAACTGGGTGCCAGGCGTTGTGTTGCCGGCACCGTCTAGGCACTGAGTCGCGCATCGCCTGGCGTGCGCGCCGGCGTGCGCGCGGGGGCCCGACTGGCCCTCTGTCTGCCGACTGCCGCCAGGCAACTGATGCCGGCGTGCGCGGCTGTCCTCCGTGAGGCTAGGCCTTGGGCTCACGCCGGTACCTTGATTGCCGGCGGAGCCCGACCTCGGGCTGAGGCCCGAGGGTGTCGTCGCTGGCGCTTGGCGCGGGCCGGCACTTGGCGTCCCCGTCTGCGCCGCGGCCTCCAGATCTCCCGGCTCCCCGCCTCCACAGGTGCCCAAAGTGCACGGGGCGGGCAGGGTCCGGCCCCTGACAGAGGGGGTTCCCCGGGCCGGCGCTGGGGCGCGGGCCCGCGCCTGCGCATGAATTCGAGCGCTGCGGCCACCCGGGCCGTCAGACTGCCAGCTACTGTAGCACAGCTGGCGTCAGTATGCCCGGCACGCCCAGGCTTGGCATGGAGAGCCGGCGCGCCAGGCG